CGCAAGTAAAACATATTAAAACGCATCGACCAGGCAGTAACTTCTTTTCTAATGCATCACAACGAATGTGACGAAGACAATGAATGTGAATATAACACAAAGGAAGCCACATGATTGCAGCAGTGGGTCTTATCATACAAAGAAAACCTACAATCCACATATATTTTAAGCTTAGTATGGAAATTGCTCTCCCTAATATTGGATGAATTGATAACGCTATAATAGTACATGCAGTTTCCACTGAGTTTATCAGTGTCCTAGTGGCACAATAATACCAGAATGGATTCAAGCACAAGGAGATGAGCATCCACTTGTTTTTGGTCCATTGGTAAAATCTGTAGTCTGCATAGGCGACGAGAATAGCTTGAAAGACACGGGGTAGCATCGTCAACAGCAGCATGTAATCCAAGGAAAGTTTGGCAAGTATCCGATAAAGGATCGATATGAGAAACGGATACATGTAACTACGAATCATTGTTGTCCATTCCCATGTGAGGTATCCATAATCGAACGCCAAACGATGAGCCACCTCCAGCGACTGCCAGTACTCGTCTGGCACATGAGCAGTTCGCACTACAATCACGCTGATTAACCGCCATAATATCAGAAGTAGTAGCAGTCCAAACTCTTTTGATAGACGCATCTCAGATCGGCAGTCTCGAATCAGCGTGTGTCATTGGCAACGGATACGTAAGCTTCTTGAGTTTCACACACGTGAACTCGTTTTCGCGAATAAGTAACCAGCTTTGCTCAATCTAACAAATAAAAAGGTAATTATTTAGCACAGTTACTTCAAAAATCAATAAAATTAGGCTTATTCAATGCGTTTTTGCATGAAATGAAAGAATCTGACAGAAATAAGCGTCATTCTGCCCCGCAAAATATTAAGCGTTAAAATTGACTACTATTGAGGTTAGGAAATCTGTCACAGAAACAAAACAAGGTCTATAATTACACTGTTCCACATGGGTTTCGATTTTCTACGCAAAGCGATTCTTACCCCACCCCCCTGCAAAGGAGCGTACGATTTCTATAATTGTATTGTCGCCAAATCAAAACCCATGTGCAATTATAGACCTCATTTTATCTCCGACAGATTTCCTAACCTCAATAATAGTCAACTTTAATGCTTAATATCCGGTTCGCGGGGCAGAGCGACGCTTATTTCTGTCAGATTCTTTCATTTCATACAAAAACACATCGAATAAGCCTAATTTTACTGATTTTTTAAATGATTGTGCTAAATTGTAAAATTACCTGTTTAATTTAGCTACTTCAGAAATCGCTTTAGAAATTGATGAAATTAAGCTCACTCAGCGCATTTTTATTCGAAGTACCTCCGAAACGAACGAATCTGTCTGAGAAAAGTATGAAAAAGCATCGCTTTTCGTGAGCCGAGATATCAAGCATTAAGGTATAGTTTCACGTGCTACTAAAATAAACAATTAAAGCGACAGATTTATCGCTCGGTATCCAGCAGTTGAAATTGTGTAGTTTGAATAGTTTCAACTACAGCATCAAACGGTCAAATACTATATAGTCAATATATACTATAACGGTCAATACTATTGACAGTGCTGATATACTATATCGACCGCGTTAAACATCGTTGACTGCGATATACATAACTTAATTTATTCTTTTTTTTTATTACTAATCAAGATAGAGGATTCGATGTAATCAGAATAATTTAATAACTGTTTAATTCAGCATATTAATATTATTGGAAATGATACATGAAAAACACGAATCTGTCACTCAAATGTCAAATTTAATAAACGCTTATTGCCCTTTTTCATGTATAAGATTATCGCTCTAATAGTTTTGCGACAAAAATCGTCACGTGATCCTTTTTTGTCACTGAAACGGCCAGTTTGAGTAGCTCGTGAAAATGCACCTTTAAGATAAATTTTCATGAGCTGCTCTAACGCTGTTTTAATGACAAAAAAGATTACATCAAAATTGACGAATATTAAGCGTCCATTTTGATCACGTGATCCTTTTTTCACTGAAACATCCAATTAGAGCAGCTCGTGAAAATTTATCTTAAAGGTTTACCTTTAAGCGTTTAAGGGCTGCCGCATACAAAATTTCTGTAATCTCCGGATCTACAACAGAGTTCTAAACCATGAGAAATGGATGAATTATAGTCGATTATCCTTGTTGAATTCGATTGTAATTGGTCAATTTCTTACAACTTGAGGCTTAAAGTACCTATTGTAGATCCGGGGTAACAGTAACCTTAGGATATATCCACACAAAGGATGCTTTCCAATTGCTTAACACATCTTAACATAAATGTACACAGGAATGTACAAAGTGTAATATTGTGCACGATTCAATTGGAACAGAATGTGTACGTTGTGCGTACCCGTTTGAGAACCGTTTCGGATAGAGTTAGATTAAATATAGCTTTTTCCGCCCGTAAACAAAAAAAAGTAAAAGTGCCAGCCATTCAATGTCTTCCAACTTCATTTATAGCTGTCGCAATTGATAACATATAATTGTCACTAGAAAACACCAGCTTACTCAGCTTCGACTGAGATGTATAGTATTGTGTCAACAATAACGAACAATTGGAACGCAACTTGTGTCGCCGTGTGCACGAAAGTGTGTAGGGATATTGCAATTGGAAAGCATCCAAACTTGTATAGCCGCATAAACGTATGCATAAAGAAAATTATTCAATTACATTTTACATGTAACTTTGTAAGAGAAATGCGATTGGATAATTTTCTTTATGCATTTATTTATGCTAGTTATGCAAGTTGTGTGGATATACCGTAATATATGAACTTAACCCAATCATTGGCTTATAGACTTAAGTTTACATTTTAAGCCGGCGTTCCATGAAGCGAAAATTGACCACAGAACGGAACTCGCAGAATCAACATAACGAATCACAGCCATTTCTTTCTTACGCTATTCCTAAATCCTTTACGTCCCATGGAACAAAATAAGCGGAAGCGGAACACGCGGAATAATATAAAATCATATTTTTTATGTTATTTACAATACTTATAATAATAAAAATAGTAATTTAATGTAATATATATAATAACCCAGCAAACGAGGATTAAAATGAATTGAAATAGAATTAGATTTTCAGAAATATTTAACGAATATTAAAATGAATGCTTTCAAATCCTGAATGCATTTTTATTCATTTATAAAAATCGTATAGAGCATATATATCTCTATGCTTTTTAATCTAAAAATATTAGCTTTTTCTGTGCAACATAATAAAATTGTGAATACTGTTTAATTTAAAATTTTTAATAAAAAAATGCAATTTTTCAATCCAATTGCATCCAATTGAATCTAATTGAATCCAATTAAATTCAATTAAATTCCAAAAAAAGTATTTGCTATTTAAATACACATTTAGATCGAAATTTTACTTTTCTCTATATGTAATTTATTCCTTCAATTGTGTGACTTTTTTTAAAGAAATGTGTTGACTCTTACTTTGCCCTTTATTTATTGTTATTTATTTTGTATAAGAAGAGTCCTTCAATTCCATTAATTGTTTTCATAATTGCTTTTGCTGTATTTGCTACGCATAAAAAGGAATAATGGCAACAGCATATGTATTAAAGTTTAACCTCAAATATGTATTTTGTATTTGTTCGAAAATTAATATGAAAAACTTAAAAAGCTAAAAATTTGTTATTATATGGCAACTGTTAGTGCAGTTACCATTTGAACAACTATCATTTCAGGTAATTATTTATAATTTAGAATCCCCATTACTTCAAATCTTAATAAAAATGTACTCATTGTATGTACTTATTATAAATGTATTCTATTTTCACATTTTTTGCAAATATTACAGACTTTCTCGGCTTCGAATTCTTTGCTGTTCGTTGTTCGTTCAATTGAACTTCAATGAGATGCGACAAAATGTATTTTGCGTTGGAAATGCATCATCTCATGTAAAATTTTTAACCAATAGTTATGAATTGCTGCCGCAGCGTGCTGCATATGAAAAGTCAACTTTATGAATACGGGCATAAATCTTTGCATAAGAGCGATGTCGCTAAAAGTTGGATTAATCCAACTTTTCAATGGTGTCAATACAGTAGATATTGTCATATAAAATGATGACAATATAGTAGATAAATTGAGGGAAAATTCGGTCACGTGATCATTTATGGTTGCGACAAGCAACATCATAAAATTGTATTTTTACGGCTTGAAACTATATTGTAAAACAGATTTAAGGAAATCAACATGTTGGATTGGCTATTGCTTATGTTATGGCCTTACGGATTCTTTTGTAATTAGTCAATTCTTTTATTGCTTATGTTTTACTGCTTAAGTTTTTTTGTGTGCCATAGTCCTTTACAGGGATCGATTTATGGCAAAGTTATAATATTGATGTCAGGAAACTAGCCAATCACAGCCATTCCATTCTTTAGAGGAACAGCTATGATTGGCCAGTTTCATAACATCGATGTTATGTATAATTTCGACGTAAATCAAGCTGTGTAAACATAGTTATAGAAATCTATAGATGCATTCGTTTACGCAACAGTTAGCGCAGAGACTATCATTTAATCCTTGATTAACACTCGGGCTACGTTCCAAAACTTCCTCCCCGAGGAAGATTTTACTCTATATGCTATAGTATACGTAACGTGTACTATATATTTTGAGTAAATTTTTTTCGGAGAGGAAGTTTTGAAACGTAGCCTCGGTGAACAACAAGGATAAAGTAATATTTCTGCGCTAACTGCTGCGTAAATGAATGCAGGATACGATATAATAAAATTTGGTCAACGCGATGCTATATATACAAAGTAGCTTTGAAGTGTTTTTTAATTGGTTAATTTGTAAAATTCTTTCTAATTGGTCCATCAAACGCTTCAAAGCATTTGTAGCGAGACTTTAACCACAGTCATATACATACGTATATTCTACATATATACATATGTCTTTGGTCGTGCGTCGTTGCTCGAATGTTCATTAGCGAGCGTGTCCCATTGCGTCTGATTCGCCATTACCGCCATTACAGTGTAATACTCGAATCGATCGGGGGCGAGAGGTCTATAGATATAACGATTAAACGATACTCCTCTCGCGAAACGAACGGATACAAAAGTCGATATCACATCGTCGCAAGTAATAAGTCGATAGCTGATCGCGCGGGGGCCATCGTTGCCTTTCGACGCGAGGGATTGAATTGAACTTCGATAGCCGCGAAAAAGAGTGTGGAACTGAGCGACGTCGGTCCGGAACTATATGTGTATTGTGTATACGTGGGGAGAAATTAGATATATCGGAGCAGTGCGTTCGCGGTAAAATTCGTCACAGTTCTTAGTTCGCAGTTCGCACAGCGCACTCGCGTCTGCTCGCATCTGTTCGCGTCGCCGGCGCGGCGAGGCGAGGCGACCGACGCGCGACGCGCGACTCTCGCGCGGCGATGCCTTCTTCCATGGTTCGCAGTCTGCACGCGAGACACGCGAGACGCGATATGAATTGTATTTGGCGTTTCATTCCGATTGATCGAATGTCGTAGTTATACTTAATTGGATTGTTGGGAATATTGGGTGAGCGATTATATTGGAGCTTTTGTCGCGGTGACATTCGCTCTCCACTCTCCAGGCTCTCCTGCCATAGGTCATAAAACGATATACCTACATGCCGGTGATCGCAGGTGATCGCATGTCGAACGTACTCGAGTGTACGGCATGGAGAGTAACAAACAAACGTTGGTGAACAACCCGGCGGTGAAGCCAGGCACGTCGGACGACAACAAGGATGATATACAAATGGTACTGGCAAAAATGATGGAGGAGAAGCACACGTATACGTATAAGAAATTGGTGGTGCCGCCGTCGATGCGAAGTATTTACTGGAAATTCTTTGGATTTCCAGCCACCGATGACGGTGACATTCTCACCAAGGTAAAAATTGTCTGCATACTGTGCAAGACGCAGATCGCCTACAATCGTAATACCAGCAACTTACGTATGCACCTGCAGAACAAGCATGCTCAGGAACTGAGAGACCTCGAATCCTCCAATCTGCCGACTACAAAACAGATCGTCTCACTGGACAACAAGGAGCGAAAGATGCAGAAGAAGCTGCTTAAGGGCCTAAGCCCTGCTAAATATATCTATACCACTAATGCAGATGGTACCGTTCAGATTGATGGTGATATACAATTTGTTACAGATCCTAACATAAGTCTGTCAAACATGGAGGATGATATCACCATTGGTCAACCACTGAGAGTAATGATCAAGGGTGGCTCTGGTATTAACAGTAACGGCCAGAACGTAGCGTTCCTCATGGAGGAAAATGTCAATCAGTCAGTCGATGTAAAAACTGTGTCGGAAGCTATTGCGGACTTTCTAATTATGGATTTGCAATTGCCCGAGATCGTAGAGGGACGTGGATTCCAAAGACTAGTGGCAACTCTACGCTCACCTTGCGAGATCCCCAGCAAAAACAAGCTGGAAGAAGAGATAATACCTGGAATATATGATACCTTTCGGGAATCTGTGAGAACTTCCTTGTCCTATATTGCCTCCGAACTGGCATTGACCATTGAGGAGTGGCAGTCCAATAATAATGAGAATTTCGTTACTATGTCAGTTTATTATCAAAATGATGAAGAGGTTACTTTAGAATGTAAGATTTTAAGCACTTTTCACGCACCGTTAGATTGGGAGGAATCCCATTGGGGAACTGTTATAGAGTCTCTGTTACGTGAATGGGAGCTTAAAGTAGAGAAAATAACGGCAGTGGTTGTTAGTACTTCAAAAACAAATTTGCTCACGGCGCTGACTAACCGTGGCTTCACCGTAGTGCCATGCTTGCTTCATACTCTGCAAATGTGCGCACAGGCTTGCTTCGAGAATCCTGAAGTATCTCAAACGTTAGCCAAATGCAGATCGGTTATTGGTGCTATCATAAGCCATCCACGTGCACTTGAAACCTTGACTATGCAAGAACAATTGTCAGAGGTATTTACGTAATTATTATGAATTAATATTTACCATAAAATATTTTTATCTTAACACATATATACGATTTAATGTTTACTAGAAAAATTTTTTGTGATCCAAAATTTTTCTGCAACAACAAAATATACAACAGTTAAAACAAAAAATGTTTAATTAGTACAAACAAATATTTTTTATTATTTATAAAGAATCAAAATTTATTTCGCCGAAACAACTAAATATCTTTGTTATATAAAACAAGATATCTAGCTGCTATTGAATGAAAGATGTTTCAATTAAACAGTTTTGTTAAAGGCTACATTTTTTTTCTAGCGTATATGTATTAAATTGGTAAGTGAAATTTTATAAATTTAATATTTATTGTTCTTATTGTAGTTGGATGAAAATACTATATTCCTAGATTATCCAGCCATATGGATATCTACATACACGATGCTGGAACAAATAATTGCACGCCGTAACATGATTGTCTCTATATTAGAAAATACCGATGGGATAGATCATGAAATGTTTGAAATATCCAACGAACAGTGGAAAATTATGGAAGATATTGTCAATGTTCTCGCGCCGTTCAAAGTTACTATTATGACATTAAGCGAAGAAAAAATGCCTCTAATATCCCTATTGAAACCATTACTTTGGCAACTTGTATCTTCGCATCTTAAAGTGAAAGAATCAGACAGTAACACAGCTAAGACTTTTAAAGAATCCTTGTCGGATATGTTATTCGAACGATATGCAGATTACAATGTCACATTGTTTCTACAAATTGCAACTACTTTGGATCCCAGGTATATTAATATGAGTCTTTAGGGGTTAAATATAATGAAAGGAATAAGGAACAATTCCTTACTCCTTCCATTGTATCTGAGCTTTCTATTTGTGAATGTGTTAATAATAAGTCTGTTTTTTGTGGATAAACTAGTATATACTTTTGTAACTTAAAGTGAGATAGATGAGGTACATTTGATATTTGTCAAAAGCGAAAAAGAGAGTTATAATGCAGTTTAGAGTCTCTACTAGAAGTAAGAGATTTTAGTGCAGACTTTAGTGCGGAAACAGAAAACAGACGTATGTACATACATATGTATATTAGATGTATGAATAAGTTTCTACTATTAACTTTAGATGGCGTTAACAACGGTGTTTAAATTTCTGCATCTAATTAATTTTTCCATTAGTAAAGTCACCGACGACGTACTTAATTAAAGATTGTTGGTCCTGGGCAAATTTTCATGACTATTAATGGGGTCTGGGGAGCTTCGGGATAATTGAAGAACGATGACGGTACCGACAATTAATAAAAATTTATGACTATTAACATAAATATTTCGATAATACATTATTAAATTCATGATTTTTTATTATATAAATGCTGTATAAATAAGTATGCATACTTTTAATGCTATAATATCTTAAATATTGCTGAAAAATTACAATTTTTTCTCTGCAGTTATCATCTCTATTAATAATCAAACTCGGATGATAACATTAAAATCACACTTTTTAATAAAAAGAGTATTATTAAGTTTTAAACATATATGTACATATCTACGAAACTAATAAATCATGAAATTAATATTGTATTATTGGTTTCTTACTTTTAATCATTTAAATTTTAACAGGCACGCGAACTTCCATAAGCGCCGACCGTCTTTAATAATATCTCGTCGGTGGTATAAAGTTGATTCCATTAGTCAATTTGTATTTCGAAAACTATATAACAATTTGCAGTTGAACGATTAACTGTATTTTTAGTTAAGGAGGTCGAAAATACGATCGAAAAATCAAAATGCTTCGATCTACCTAAAAATTACACAGAATATTATTTAAAACGAAACTAATACTATGTTAAAATTTCAAACCGATTGACGTGTAATTTTTAAGAAAGAAAGAGCTAAAGTTAAAGTTTTATGCATTATGGTGTCGTCTTATAGCATTGAATGATCGATATATTACATAATTATTTACTTTTAAAATGCTTCGATCTACATAAAAAAACATAGAAATAATTTTTTTTAAACAACCTTTTTTTTACATCCTTGTAAGAATTTTAACTCTATTTACTGTGTAATTTATTTGTATACAAGTAAAAAGCTAATGAAAGCATGCTTATTTGAGCATCTAAAGAAATATACGCGGAAAACTTGGCAACACTGTGATTTCCGATGTTAGGTTAGATTGCGATTAGTTTCATCCTATGATACATGTGTGATTGAATATATGTTTCTTGCTTATAACTTATTGTTATGTTTTTAATTTAAGAAAGCTATAGCAACTATTACTGCAAAAAAATATTACAACTATTAAACTAAATAATACAACTATTACTGCAGTAATAGTTAAAAATAATAATAAAAATATATTTGAAAATATATATACTAAAATATATGAAAAAAAAAACGATACTAATATATAAATATACATGTATTAATATACAAATAACGTCATCCACTAAATTTATTCAAACTAGGAACGTAATTCTCCCTTTGTAAATTAAATTGATTTATAAAAAGATATTTATTTTTTTTTAATTCAGTATAGTATTTATTTAATTTAATACAATATTAATCTTATATTAAGTATTAAAATTTTTATTTAACATTATAATAAAAAAATACGCAGAGATGTTTTTTTTTAAAGATATTGATACAATAATATAAATATGTATTAATAATTTTAATTTAATATACTTATAACGTTTAAAATATTAAAACATAACTTTTAACACATGACTTTTATCATATAACTCTTATCTCATAATTCGTATTACATAATTTGTGATATTAAAATTAAATTTTTTTTAATATAAAATTTTTATCAATTAGTTATGAATTAGTTATATATATGAATTAGTTATAAATTTGCTTTTATAACGAAGCATCTTCTATAAAATAACTCGTGTAAAATATGTATATGAAAATAATATTTTAACCTTAATTAACTGTCAATTACTAATGCGCAAAAAGTTTCGAGTACAAATGCCAACCTCATTTTCAAAATGCAACGTTGCCAAGTTATCGATAATCATCGAACATAAAACATTAAACTATTTGCATTTCCTAATAATAAAATATTAATATTATGATTTATAATTAAAAATTAGCAATCAATGTTTTTTTTTATTTTAATAAATCATAAATTAGTCTTTCTTATTATTAAAAGATATTTCATATATTGGGTTGATATTACCAATGAAGAATAATAGCGTACCCTCCTCACCACCTACCCCGCAAATGATCGATCGTACATCCTTAAATTGAAAATAAACGTTAAAAAGATGCATTTGCCATTGTATTTTATTATTTTCCTTGCGGTAAAACCGCTACTGAAGCAATCAGAATCATTTGAGATGTAAACCTAACGCACGATTGAAAAGTACAGACAATAGGGACTGTCAGGGAGCAACAGATTTCAACTCGTCAGAAACTGTGTACTCTGGTATATATGGTTTCTTATAGATTGAAATTTATTATTCAGAAACTTATTTCCTTGTTCCTGTTGCCAGTATTCTTCAATTATGTTTCAAGCCTTATGGAGATAAAATTGCATCTGAAAGACTGTACTAAGATTGGTTTAAAAGATTTAAAAATGATGATATTGATGAATTTGATGTAAACGATAAACGCGCACCAAAGCATTTCTTTACTATGACATTCATATATTGTCTGAAAAATTGCAAAGTGATAGATTCAAAAGACTAATATTTTGAAATATTTGTACCATTTCTTTTATATGTATTAATAAATATATTAATAAATATATTTTTGCAAAAAAATCCGCGGAAATTATTTATACATTTAATATATATTATTAATTTTAAAACGGGTTACCATTGTACATCTTGTACTCTTTCACTCTTAACTTTTAACTCTTTAATGAACTTATAAAACTGAAATATACGTAGGATAGGAACCGGGAATTGAAGTGAACTAAACGACTATATTCACTGACAAGGGGAAGATCAGAAGTAGTCTTCATTGATTTCAATAAAACTTGACAGAATTATAAAGTGTCCCCCTAAATATAATTATTTGAATACAATCAACCATGTTTCTTTCCGAAATATTTCAATATTAAATTTAGTAGCTGTATATAATTTTCATGAGAGTTTATTAAAACGTTGATTTCGAATATAATTATAGCGTAGTGGATATGGTAACTGCTTCTTAATTTATAGATTCGAGTTTAAACCTCACTAGCAATTAATTTTTTTGGCATATGCTTTAATAAATAATTATTGAGAAAAATTAATTATTTTTATTACACATTTCTACTTTTACAAATTTTAGGATGCAGGTTTTAATAAAAATAAATATAACATAAAGTTTTGAAAATTCAACAACAAGAAACGGAAGTAATGGCCGTAACGGTCAAAGCTAGATCTTTAATGCTTAAATAATTCTGAATTATTATATAATTATACTATATAATAATTATATGTATTTGCATATATACCATATTTGTAATCATTCGAACTGCGTGCTGAATTGATTTTCCGGACTTATAAATGCAATTAAACTATTGTAGTAATATCGCGAATTAAATTAACAAGCAATTTTAATAATTTGATGCTCAATCATATTAAAAAGATGTTAATATGCTGAAAAATTGTAAAAAAACTATTGCGAAAAATATTACCTCGGCCGGGAATCGAACCCGGATCTCTTATATTCCGTATGAGCGTCCTAAGCCTTTAGATTATGTTGATAAGTCCGAAAAACCAATTCGAATGACTGTAAATATGACATATATGCAAATATATATATATATATAGTGTATATAGTAATTCAGATTGAATTATTTAAGCATTAAAGATCTAGCTTTGACCGTTACAGTTATTACTTCTATTTCTTGTTGTTGAATTTTCAAATATATATGGTCCAGTAAAATTCTTATTGTTAAATTTTTGAAGCATCATGAACTCGCGTACAAATTCTAATGAATTGCTGTTGCTAAATTTAATATTGAAATATCTGAGAAATGATTGATCGTCTACGCCCAAATAAGGATGATGATTATATTCAGGAGAACACACTATAATCCTGCCAAATTTCATTGAAATCAATGAAGGCCACTTCTGAATTTCATTGTAAGTCATACAGCATCCCATTAAAATTGAAGTAACTTACTTTGGGAACATATATATATATATATCTTATTATGTATATATATCTAATTTTTACAGATTTAAAACAATGCCATATGTCACTGAAGAAGATAAAAGTGTAGTCAGCACACCTATAAAGGAAAGATTGACGAAATTAATTCAGGAAGAATCTGGGGATGTTTCGATAAAGAACGAAGATGAGGCAGTACCAAGTAAAAAAACTAAAGTCTCAGGTATTTTTTTTTTTTTTTAGATAATTACATATAATGCATCTTCAATTATGCAGGCAACGTGAAATAAACATTTTAGATCAATTCTTAATTACAGGTATGGAATTCTTACTTGGTGGCTTATGTACTACAAAGGCCGGTATGCCCGCGGAGGAAAAAGCTGATCTCGAAATTGTTCAATATCAGTCGGAACCTACAGCACCTCTCGATTATTGTCCGCTGCAATGGTGGTCGAAAGTGTCGGCGAAATGTCCGAATCTGGCAAAGTTAGTGAGCAGATATCATTGTGTGCCCGCTTGTTGCGCACCACCTTCACGCATCCCGCCAGACGTGCAGATTCAATATGATACAAGGCGAGCAACTTTACCGCCTCATCTGATTGACAAACTACTCTTTTTGCATGGTAATCATACTATGCAGATGTAAAAAAAAGTTTCTAAGCCTGCAAGATGCTGCCTGAAAAATATCTCGCTGTGGTATATAGGATATTTTCACGAACAATATATCAAATTTACTTGCCATAATTTAGTAGTCACTTCCAAAGTGACATACATGGGCAAGTAAATTCTTTGTATAACTTTCTCTAACTCTGTATACAATGTAAGTATTATGTAAGTATTTAAGATACAAAGAATGTCAATTTTGTTTTTACTTTTATTGAGTATGACATTTTCCTAAGATTCGATATAAAAATTATTAGTCATTACCTGATAAGTGAAATGCGAAGTTAAGACTCCTAAGTAGTCACTCCAACCATATTGAATCGTGACGTCATGAGCGAGAAATAACACGTTGATTTTTCTTGCATATCATTTGTGAATAAAGAAAATTTAGATGAAACGAAATGATGAGATCGCTTTAAAACCCTTATAAAAATAGGCGAAGACTCTCCTTATCCCCCTTGATAGTTAATAAAGGGTCGAAAAAAGCTCGTGAAGTGAAAATAGGCTATGCATGCGCATTAAGTAAAAACTAATAAACGCACTTTATGTGCCTTTTACTATTTACAAGTGTTTTTACAAGTGTTTTAAAACGATCTCTTCATTTCATCCAAGTTCTCTTTATTTACAAATGGCATGCAAGAAAAATCAACGTGTCGCTTATGACATATTTCTCGCTATGACGTCATGATTCAATATGGCTGGAATGAGTACTCAGGAGCCGTAAGATGCGTTCTGAGTAATGCATGAAGCGCATCATGCAACATTTGTCTCTGTTGTTCATCGAATATATATAATAGAGAAAGATAAAATAATATTATACACTTCATGCGTAACTCTGAACATACCCTTAATGTAATAGAGTTTTACATATAAGGCGAGGTTAATGTAAGAGAGTTTTTGCATAATTTAATTTTTAATTTATAATTAATAGAAGCCGATATAAAAAAGATCTCTCTTGTAGAACCACTAAATTATTTTTACGCAAACTTCTAGATTTTCTTAAAAAGAATATTTATATATTTGAAATATATTCATATTTTGCACAATAAAAAATTTTTAGATTTTCGTCTTTTCGATCGAGAAGTAATAGCGCTCTTTTATATTTTTCAATATATCAGATTCACGTGAAATTGAAAGATAAATATTAAGATCAAATGTTTGTGTGGTCAATTCTAAGTTTGTTTGTTACAAAAAAATCATGTATAGAAAATACAGTTATTACGATTAATAACTATTAATAAATTATGTTTTATAATGCCTGTTCTATATTAGGGTCGCAAGTCGTAAGCCGTAAGAAATTGACCAATCACAGTTAAATGTGAAAATAATCGATTATGATTGGTTAATTTCTTACGGCTTAATTTCTTAAAACTCTATTGTAGAACAAACCTTACGGTGATTCAAAAATGAACAAAACTTTACAATGAGTGAGTACACGAACAATTGCCTGCAATTGTTAGGACATAAATAGACAGTCCCACCTATCACTCAATGTAAATATGCCTACCAATATTAATTCGTTTTTGCAAAAAAAGTCTTATTCATATTTTAACCATTCATATATTTTATGTTTTAATATAATACTGCCCTGGATTGTGTGAGAGTTCGTTATATTTTTCTTTTTAATACAAATTTGATAAAATACCTAATAATATATAATTGCATTTCATTGTTTATATTATTATTAGTTTAAAGTGTATAAATAAACAGCATTTGCTATATTTCCTATAAACATTTATTATCAAAAAGTATTGAATGTATAATTGGAATTATTTCTCATTATATTGAAAAATAAACTATGAAAATTTGTAATATATATTCTATGTATCTTACGCTATTGAAAGTTTAATTTTGATTTTATATTAATATAAAAATAAAGACAATATTAGGTCACAGATAAATGTAATAAACTTACACAATTATCTATCTTAAATTTTAATTATTTTAAATTTATTAACAAATTCTGATATACAATTAAATAGATTCATCAGCCAGATATTATGATTGGAACTTTGTACAATACTCAGTAAACTTATATACAGGTTGTCTTATAACTCTTAATTAATATTTCTGAGAGTGAAAGAGGATGAATTTTTGAACTAAAAGTTCTTTTCCCAATTTTGACTCAAACCATTATTTACCGAGTTATTAACAATTAAAGTTGATCAATCGGATTGTGCCCAGTCATCGGAATACGCAGGAGTGCAGCATGCTATTCCTCGTTCTTACTGTATATTCCTCCGATTAAAATTTTATTATAATTTTTCATATTAATTAATAAATAAATGCACAGATAAATAAATAACTTACCCATTTATTGATTATACATAGTTTAAGCCAAAATTTGGGAAAGGAACTTTTAGTTTAATATTTCATGTCATTCTTTCACTCCCAGAAATATTAATTAAGAGTTATGGAACATCCTTACATGAGTGATTACATATATAAATTGCTCGAGACTAATCAAAAGATAATCTATAAGAAGTATAGAGTAATGATTTATTTTTCATTAATTTATTGGTGTGTGTACATTGGTACAATCATTTTTCATTAATGTATAAAATCATTTCTTTCTCGATCTCGAAAGACATAAAACGTACAAATATAAAAATATGTATATAAAAAGTTTGTAATAAAAGTTTTTTTATACAATGTATATAAATTGTACAATGTTTGTATAATATATAAATTTAGAAATTAATCTATGGATATACCAACTTCGTTTTATTTATGTAATATAATCATATAAATTTGTATAAATACAAAGACATTGTATAAAAAGCTTAAAATAATAGATTTGAAATACACAGATATATTCTTACATCTATATTTTATCAGAGCTACAATTACCCTTTATGTCTCATCGAAATTTTATTTACGTGTAATCACGGAATACTCAATTGCTTTTGTACCCAAGCAGAACTTTTGTAGAATCTTGGATCACCGATTCTCAGAGAGGCTCTTTTGTAAAAGTAATAATATAGCACTGCAACTTTATAAAAATCCTGAATTACCATTTATTTATCAACGTTCTACAATAATATTCTAAGTTTTCTAATGTTGTACCTGTTCTATGTGCAGAATAAAGAGTGTAAAATTCTTTTGTCCAATAATGTTTTAACGGCATTGACCAATGTATACTGATGTGCCATGTATGCAAACTGATTGATAATATCATATAGATAATGCATAATACTAATGTCATACGGAATCTTGTGTACAGTAGCTGTATCAAACCTGCCTGGAAATGAAACCTGGTTTACATAACTGTATCAAATATATATGATATAGGAGATGTAAAAACTTGTCAATCAGTAAACGTAATTTAGTAATTCCAGCTTAAATAGAATATTGTAGCAGATGACAGTTGCATCCAAATTAAGCTTGCGTTCCATCAACAAAGTTTGCCGACATAGTAGATTACTAATATCATTTAAATGATTATGAAACGATTAGATTCTGCTTAGTTTTAATGATTAGTCTGCCATCATATTCTACAATACTTATAATTTTGCTGGCATTTTGTTAAGGAATTCCACATTATCTAATTATATGGAAAATTGAATGAATTGAATTAATTTTCACATATGACTTTAGGCTGCGATATGACTTATATTCAATATGACTTATAATGCGATGAATACAGATAGGTGTCGTAGACACAAAGCTCAATAATGGATAGTTTTTTTTAGCTTGGTGTATAAAAAAATGTAAAACTTGCATTTACACAGCACATTTGATACACTACAGCTAAAAAAATATCCATTATTGAGTCTACATCTTTTATTTATTACATTATAAGCTATATTATATGTAAAAACAAATGCGAGATCAATAGAAGTCGCAGATAATAGTAGGATTTTAAGTCATAGAAAAATTGACTAATCACAATTTAATATGAGAAGAATAATCGATTGTGATTAATTTTTTACGACTTAAAATTTTACGATCGTCTATAACTCCTGCTGTAGACCCTATATAACTCGTTTCATTAGGATTCAATTTTTCAGTTCCTTTAACACACTTAAGGAGCAAATTTTTAAAATGCGTCTCATCTAAAATATTATTTTCTGAATTAGAGAAATGACATAATGTTTAGTGATGAAATCTTTATATTTTAAGTTAATCTGAAATGTTCAGAGAGCATTTTTCTAATTCTCAATTTATATACTGAAAGGAGCCTAGACATTTAAAGTGCATTAGGTCCTTTAACTAAAGGTAAACAAAATATATTTCTTTATACTTTTAGCATTTTTTAATAATTTTTTTAACATCTTACTGATTGGTATATTGTTATTTTCTGTAAAGTGTGTTAGTTTTCTTTATCGTTTTCTGAAAATTTAAAGTCTGTTCTTCACTTATAAAATACATTTTTAACAGATTAACACGCTGTAAATTTGCAGTATAACATTCCTTACTCTGATTTTCCTATAATTTCGTATATTTCGAGAAAGAAAATCGTCACCCAATTCTTGTTTTTCTCTTAATTTCTAGGTTTTTTAATGTCAATATAAAAAGAAAGACAAATTGTGTGCGTGTGTTGTGTGCATGTGTGAGTGTTACACGTAACTATAATTCTTCTCTATAATTTAAATTATATAAGAAAATAGTTTGTATAAAGACTATGCGTTTCGCATTCTTATGCCAATTTGGGCATTCCAAGAATAGATCTGGACACGGAGAAAACCCGCTTTATATAGAAAGCACCTGTGGAAGCCTCAAGAATAAAACAGTTTGTGTCTTTAATTAATTAAAACAGAGAATATGTACAGAATAATCATCAAATTATCAGTTTCTTACTGACATAAAAAAACTTAAAAAAAAAAGAACAATACTTGAGCGACGAGACTTCTCTTCTTGGAATAAATTCTACTCATGAAAATACATAAATGTAAAAAAAAAAATAACATCTGGCTACAAATTTGGATTAGCAGATTCACCTGAAAGATGTAAGTAGAAAAGAAGTTTACTAAGAGCAACGTGAGGGCTACGATGAGGCAAAAGTCTTGAATCCTGAAATTGTTGCATTGATTAAACACAATTCCACAACAATGAATCGTCACAATAAAGGCACGACGAAAATTATAAAAAATTATTACGCACACATAAAGTACCAGCAGGTCGGTTGGATGCTGCCTGGCAAAGCTCGCGAACGAATTTATGCAAACGTCAAAGAGCAATATAACATATTGCAGGATTACGATAACCGTGTATTGCCTCGTGTTTAAGGAACTCATTTACTATTTGTTGCTATTTGTACATACAAGAAATCTCATGAAATATAAATAGTGATCTGTTTCTGTTTTCTGTTCCTGCATTAGATTGTGCTAGAACTCTCTTTCTCGCTTTCGACAAATATCAAACTGTAGCGGACAAAACATATATCTATCTCCCTTTAAGTTGCAAAAGTACACTAGTTCAGCCACAGAAAACAGACTTTACGTTCTTACGTTTAGCTTGTGGAATGTGAAACGTCAGTAAGTCAGATGTCGCGCAAGTGGTTGCTATGACAACTGTTGCCTAACCCAACTTGATCGTCGACAAAATTCTTGGCGCGAGTGACGTGACAGCTTGAAGGTTAAGTAGAATTCGCATACTCCTGATTCACTCTCTGTTTTCTTATCCGTCTACAGCTTTACGATATCTACCTGTTGTATCTTGATCGACAGAATGAAATGTATTACTCCTGAAATTTCGTGGCATAATCGCGACCCAGTTCTGAGTGTCGATATACAGAGCGGTTTATACGAAGATCTGAAAGGAGGTACATTTTGGAGAGTGGCGACTGGAGGAGCAGACTGCCATGTTTTGGTAACATACTTAATTAAATTGGAAATTGTAAAAACTTGTACAAAAATATTATTAAGCACTAAGATTTGTCTTGACCGAATAGACATTCACTTCTTCGCTTATTTGTATTATTTATATATTAGCTGATTTTCTATTTATAATTATAATTATATTAGGTATTTACTTTGAACACACGAAGCTAAAGAATAATAGATTTTTCATTTTTCTTTATATATGTATGTGTGGTAACAAATAAAATATATAAGAAAAAGCACAAAAATGTGTGATTTTTATTAAAGAATCAAGTTATATTTATAAATATAAAAAATATTTATAATAAATAATAGAGTGTGTGTGTTGTGTAGTATATTATTTTTAATAATAATAATCTAAAAATAACATATATAATATTTATAATATTAATGGAACATAATGCTAAAATTTGTACATGATTTTAGTAATGTCGTCAGATATTTGAGAAGTAAGGATTCGTTTAACGTCTTGATCTAATTACGATTACACATTCAAGGATTTTTCGCAATCTAAATGATTGTTTCTATATAGATTTGGCATTTAACAACAACCAAATGTGGAGGAGCTACTGTGAGTTTTGCAGCAGACTTGGATCGTCATCAGAGAGCAGTAAATGTTGTGAGATTTTCTTCGTCGAGAGAAATTCTAGCATCAGGAGATGATGGTTCGGCCACTTGATGTTATTTTACTAACTACTTATTATTCCTATCTTGTTAAGGAAAAGAATTGCCTAGACTACAATTGATTTTAATACACAGAATCGATTATTATTTTGTGGAAAGTCAAAGAGGGACGAGATTTCTCTCCACCTTCAGGCGATACTGAAAATAAAGAACAGTGGACTTCCTGGAAAGTACTGAAAGGTCACATCGAAGACATTTATGATATTAGTTGGTCGCCGGACTCCAATTTTTTAATCTCTGGATCTGTTGATAATACCGCTATACTATGGGATATCCAGAAAGGTCGTAAAATTGCTATATTACAGGATCACAAAGGTTTTGTTCAAGGAGTATCTTGGGATCCTTGCAATCAATATGTATGCACTATCAGCACAGACAGGTATGTAATCCACAATTGAATAGCATGTTGGCAAAAATCGTTACCTCCACTTGAAATTTTTCGGCGAGAACAAAAAAGCTTGTATAATTTTTCTCATTCAAACTATCAATAAGATTAAAAAATTAAGAATCTATTAGTTTTAGTTAACAAAATGTGTATAATAAGGAATACATTTTCTATTTAGTAAAATGATTGATTTTGCAGTAGAAAGAACTTTTAATTAATTTTGTAACAAATCTCTGTCATTTTTATTAAACCTAACTAATGAACATAACTATATTTGCAACAGTAGGAATTTGGGGATTTGGCTTCTTTTACAATGAGACCTCCTCTAATTTTGTAGGATTTATAACTTTTGCAATTTTTTAATCATTCAATTTGTAACTAAAAAGCTAAGGAAAATTTTGCAATATTTGGTTTTTTAATTTTTATTATAGAGCTGCTCTCACGTATTGACTATTCAATTATAAATTACGCAAATGATAAAGCGTCTGCTAAATTTTAATTAAATGTGAATCAAATTCTTTATTTTCAGATACTGTCGTTTAATAAACATTGCCACGAAAAAAGTTGTTCAGCGCGTTTATAAGTCTAAAATTCCAACACCATCCGGTAGCTCGTTGCAAGGGAAACTCGTGCGTCTATTTTATGACGACACTTTCAAATCTTTCTTCCGCAGGCTGACCTTCTCGATAGATGGATCCTTAATTTTTGTTCCATCTGGAATAATCGAGTTGCAGGAGACCACAGAGACTATATCAAATGCAGTAATTGTTTTCTCTAGAAAAGATATAAGGGAGTCAGTATTAAATCTCTAATAAAATTCCAAGTCCCTTGCTTGACTTAAAAACAATCATAATAATAAAATTGATTTTTTTTAGACCAATAATGATCTTACCTACTTTAAATGAATGTACTATAGCAGTACGATGTTGCCCTGTCTATTTTAAATTGCGACAGGATAATCCAGATGCTTTGGTATCGTTGCCTTATAGAATGGTATTCGCTGTCGCGACGCAGAGTTCTATATTACTCTACGATACGCAGCAGACTTCTCCGATCGGTGTGGTATCGCTCATTCATTATGGTAGATTAAATGATCTTTCGTGGTACGTCATTGTCAATATGGTATATTTGTTATTCAAATTATTTCCGAGTCTTAGCGTCTTTTTTTATAGGTCTAGCGATGGCAAAATTTTAATCACGTCTTCGAGCGATGGCTACTGTTCCATAATACATTTTGAAGAAGGTGAACTAGGAGAAATTTATAAGATGAAAGAAAATTCTTTACAAGAGAGTACAATAATAAAGGAAGCATCCAAAAATTCTAGTAAAAAATCTTTGCACAATACAATCAAAGACAAAAACAATTTTCCAACATTCGATGTGGATGATTGTGCGATGGACGTTGAACTTATAAAAAGCAACACACTCAACACAGTAAAGAATAATCGATCTGAAGAACTTCATGGACAGAAACCGCACGAAATTATCAGTAGCAAAAATATTACATCAGAAAATAATTTAGAAATAGACAAAAAATTGAATGAAGAAGAAACAGAAGATATCAAATTGGTGTATAATGAAGAAAATAGTAGCGATGTGACCAAAATCAAAACTAGAAATACTCCGCCAAAGTCTGATGCTCCTATTATATGTCATAAAACTCCTAGAAGAGTAAAATTAATAACTTTGTCGAGCCCAAAAAGATTCAAGAAACAATAGCTTGTAAAACATAGATTTTTAAGATTTATTACGTAACTTTTAACCGAATGTTATACCGAATGTTTAAAATAAAGCGTCACAAACTTTTATCTCGGAAACACATTATTGAGAAAAATTGTTCAGAAACACAAAAGTTGTAGGGTTCAAAAAGATCTATTTACTAATCTTATCAATTTGACTTTGGGTGATGTCGCCAAGGTCAGGTCAAGGTCATGTCGATTTTTTTAAATGATACATCCTACTTTTTTTCATTGTCAAGAATATTAACGTGAAGCTATTTTTTTCAGCTTAAATAAACTCGATTTATTAAAGTACAGAAGGACATTCTCCCAAAATTTTCCAATAAAAATATGGTTTACAAGATTGCAATCCATCATATGTTGGGCAAACAGGTCGAAAATTAATCACTAGAATATCTGAGCATCGAAACCACATTAACAGTAGTAATAAAAATCAATCAGTTATCACAGAACATCGACTTGGTTTTAACCATGAATTCGATTTTGAGAATATCCAAATTCTTTATATGGAGAGTAGGGTTTCAAGATTGATTCGGATTTAAAGCTATCCGGATATTCGTTTATCCGAATTACGAAATGTGATGCTTTAAATTCGGATTATTCGGAGCTTCGAATTTTCTAAAATATCCGAATTCGAATAATAAAAGTCGAACCCAGATCCGATTCTCAGATTCGGTTCCGGATTTGTAGCAAATTTATAGTGAATTCGGTTGGATGCATTAGTGCAGACTGACTGTATACTAAAGTCATTGTATTATACACTTATTTAAAAGTATATTAGAAATACAAATATTTCTAATATAGTAGAGAGCTTAAGTCAAAGTTGGATATTTCGAATAATATAATATTCTTGATTTATGAATTTAATTAATCTCAAATGTAATCAATATTATATTATTCGAAACATCCAACTTTGACCGATGCGCTCTCTACTATATTATGTTGTTACATTAACTCGATTGGTTTCTATTTCACAAATATTTCTCTTATTAGCTTGTACATCTTGTACATCTTTGTTATTAACATTTTAAGAAATATTGAGAGATCTGTTCTAAATATTTATATTTATCAATAATATTAAATCTCATAAGACATATATGTGACACAACCTATAGAAACAAATGCCTTAAACAGTCTAGTTGAATTTTAAGTGCTTGTATAATTCTTGTGAATCTATATTTATATTTTTTAATTTTATTTTTCTTCAATTATATTATATATGTGAATCAAAATTCAATTTTGATTTGAAAAGTAACTTATGTTAAAATTCATTAAATACATCGATGTTTTTTTCTTTTTAGACTCCGGATCCAAATTCAGATCCGCATTCCGCGGATTCGAATAATTCGGATATCCGGATTATGCGAATAATACGGTTTTCAGTTCTTGGATCAGAATTGATTTCGGATATCTAGATATCCGAATACTTAGAAGCCCTAATGGAGAGATTTCTCAATAAACGATTAAGTTCCGAAATGTCTCACATCTATATACAGAAGAAAAAATGGACTTAATTTAAGAACCGACACAGAGTGCTTGCCACTTGTATGCCTCCTTATTGGATACATTTAAACAAAATTGATATTCGAACTTTGTTGCATTGGTTGACACTATTGATTGTATTTATTTTCAATACTTGTTTGTTAATCCCCTTATTACATTGTAACGTTTAATTTTAAATGTCACGTCATAACGAACAGACACGAATTTATATTCAGAACAATGATATGTATCTAATTCACAGTTTAATTTTCTTATTTAATTTTAAAGTTGTAAATTGTTATTTCTGAGTAAATTGTTTCACTTTCATATTCTCGCAAATAATTTTTAAATCATAACGATTCTGACGCCGATACAGATCATAACTACAATGTTATCTCATTAAAATTTTGTAAAATTGACATGGAAACTTGCTTAATTTTTATAATAAAATTGTTATTTCACGCTCCTGTTCTTCAGATTCTTCGCAATTTCAGCTGATAATAATTTTAAATACTAATTATTAACACCTCATATATAGGTATCTGTTATTCCATTGTAATCATCACTGGTTTTGGACCATGGTGAAGCATTTGGAAATACGCAGCTGAGTAGGAACTTATCTAATACGCAGGAGGGTGGAATACGCTGAGGATGATTCCAAGAAATGGTCGAAACGTTCGAGTGTACTCGTACAGCAAGTCAAAAATACAATATACATGTAATTAATAATTATGCCTTAAGTACCGCACCGAACTCTCATTTACTTAATTTCCTATATTATTTTATTATTTGATTTTGTCTTTTCTTGTTTTATAATGGTAAATTGTAAAATTAATGTAGTGTATTGATTGCTGCATTTCTGTCAATCTGCAAGTGACTTCTGAGCTCTCAATGGAAGATTTTTGATTTTGTATTCGCTGAGAAGGACTCTAAAGGGAGTCGAAATAAATGAAGATAACCATCAATATCTATTATTTGCATCTCCTATTTCTTCGCTTTTAGTCAGTATGACTCTCTTTAGCCTTATCTGAATTTTTCTTTCATTGTGTGGAACATCTTATTTTTGATTCCAAATTAATAGCCGATGTTGATAGCTTTTCAAAACTCTATATAATAAAGTTATTTTTAAAAAACAAATTATATTTAATAGGGCTCTCGGAAATCAAACAATAATAAATATTAATTAATGGGCGTTTATTGCAAGAATATTGTATTAACAAGTAATGTAAAAGTATTGTGAATATATTTTATGTATTGCGCTCCAAATATTGCGCTGTAAATGCTCTCATTGTCCGTTAATTAATATTTATTATTGTTTAAAATTATTTTTTATTGAGTACTTTTCGAGTTATGATGCTTGAAAGTTACGATATCACTGGCATTGGCATTACCCAAGATATGACGGCTAAAACCTCTTGAATGTCGTTCAGGATCATGTCTTGGATAACATTTGTCAAGATCATTGGAGATTATTCCTTTTATTTTCATTTTTGCACTAAAAATTCATTTTTACGTAAAAATGAAAATAAGAGATACAATCTCCAGTAGCTTTGATCTTGATAAATAATATCCAGAATATGATTTTGAACAACATTCAAAAGATTTCAGCCGTCGGTCGGACACCTTAGGTAATGCTAATGCCGGCGGTACTGTAACTCTCAAGCATCATAATTCAAAAATTACTTAATAAAAAAATTTTTTTCTTATAGTGTTTTGGAAAGCTCTTGACATCAGCTATTAGATTCTGAAAACAAAAGTAGGTCCATTTAAAAAAAAAATCGATTTTGTAACCTTGATCTGATCTTGGTGACGCCACTCAAATTGATAAGATTAGTAAATAGATCTTTCTGAACCCTACAACTTTTGCCTGAACAAATTTTTTCAATAATGCCATATTTCTGAGATAAAAATTTATAACGCTTTATTTTGAGAATACCCGGTATAATTATTTTTATAATGTATAAAATAAATATATAGAAAAGAGGCGCTATCTCCAATGACCTTGGCAAGCTCCAATATATTGTCAAGGTCATGATCCTGAATGACTTCCAACAGGTTTTAGGCATCTCCTTGTTCGTTAAAAAGTTATTAACCAAAAAGTTAAAAAATGATATCTCTTTTCTATTATATGAAACAGAAATTACGACTTTCCATGCGAAGCGAGGTCCACCCCTTCTTGCCAAAATCGTGCGTCCCTGAAGCAGGAGGGGTGAAAGTTTCTGCGCGTGGAAAACCATTTCGTAAGTAAGAAAAAAAAATGTTATTCTACGATAATTTTTCGCAAAGTTATCGTCAATCAAAGTTGGTCAATTTTTGCTCAAAATTTTTCTATGCCATAATTTTTTTTGAGCAGTGTATGGCTGCGTTTCACTTAACGCCCGCAACGCTCGCGAGCATCGTTTATTCTTGTTTAATATTTAATAAACAATAAAGATAAAATGATTCCGCGAATGTTGCGGGCGTTAAGTGAAACACACTCTATATACAATGTATATGTATAGCAGAAATAAGACGTTATTTTTTCAAACATTTTTTTGTTAATTTTTTAATGGATAACGAGCGACAGCTAAAACTTGTTGGAGATTACTTAGGGTCATGACCTTGACAACATATGTCAAAGTCAAGGTTATTGGAAGTTGCGCCCGTTTTCTATATATGTATTTACATGATCATACTAATCAGAGTGTAAAAAGATTACTCGTGACGAATATTTTAAGAAATATAAATTTTTAATTATAAATAATGAAGGTAATTATTCTTGTATGTAAGATATCTTTGACCTCTCTCTTTGCCGGAGTTTGTGAAAGAGAAGCATTCCTGTACTACTTTGAACTATTCCCGAGAAAACAATGACCGATAGTGTACTTTGTATGTATGTAGATGTGCACCCGCATATGCAATTGTCATGAATACTATAGCAGTTTAAGCTGATTCGCGTTGCTTATGAACTCCGGTTCATAGACAGATACCGTATGTAGCGCTGCTATTAAATAGTGAAGCGCAGTGATCGTACTATCCGCAAAGTCAGACAGTGAACGAGTCGTGGTCCGACACGCTGCTTGCTATCGAGTGCGAATAATCAGATATCGAAAAAATGGTGAGTACTTTGCTTCTCTATTACATCTTTTTCATTAATATCGAATATTTTCAACGATTATATTTCTCCTTGAAAAATGTATATATATATATATATATATATATATATATATATATAT